ACGCCGCTTTTAGCAATATTCCAGCAATATCACGGCGGGGGTGGCAAGAAATGGGCTTCACACATTGCACCAATGTGGAGAATCGAACCCGGGCCTTGGGCGTGACGAGTGACTTTAACGATTAGGCTATCCCACCGTCCCAGGAGTGGTATGAACGCTGGGGATCACTAATACTGATTTGAACCTATGTCCATTCTTAGAGATTCTTAAACAGGCATATCCTCTGTACAAGGTTGGGACATTGTTTACAGGCGATATGGACGGCTGATGTGTAATAACAATCGGTCTAAACCTTTACCAATCTAGTAGCCTCGTAAATCAGGTTCCATGCACAAAACTCCCGAAGCCCTAACAGATCCCCTGAACTTCTTTGTTCTATCAAGAAATTAAAAAATGATGTGATAAATACATTGTTTCTGTTCAGTGGATCATAAGATTGTGTTTCAGAAGTAATTAGTTGTTAGGCACGACTTACTCTCTAATGTTAGACAGGGGAAATATACGCAATGTTTCAGCGTGTATGCAGACGGTGCGTATCCATCTGTCTATTCCGATAATGAACCACCAGGAGTCCCTGACCACACTTAGAACACCCGTGAAGATCCGGGTTACAGTTGGTCTTCAGTAACCCACGCTTGTCGTAAGAGGCGACTAACGCGATAGGGTGGTCAGGCTCGCTGACTTTTTGACACATGTCATCGTATCCCAATTGCGTAGATCGATGCTCATGCTGTTGATCAGTGGATTGCCTGGAGTAGATTCGGTTATTTACAGACCGCCGCCATATAGCTGGAATATTGCTGAACCAAACCACACCTGAACCTGATATCACCTTCCCATGGCATGCACGTGTAGCAGACAGGTCTGTGATCAAATTACCATATTCCAATGGACAAAGTATCTGGGTATGTGTATACACCTGCTTTCACAAAGGCATTTAAGGAGATAGTGTGATATCCAGACAAAAGTCCTCTATCCACGTGTGTCCGATCCTCTCACATCAACAAACACACTCCACCTAAAACATACCTCTGGCACCAACAGAATAATCTCCGGGATGTGGCCATCAGCAGGTAAAACCATTTTCCCATCACCTGACCTTGAACCCTGCACATCTGGCACGTGTAGCTTCCAGCACGGGCATGCTTAAAACACATCGTTAGCAGAAGATATCGGTGTTTCAGTGCTGCGTATCCGCCTTAATTAGTCATGTTTCCGAAAAGAAACCCCGAAACATCTTCAGCGATGATATCTGATCTCAACCGTGACGTCATGGAGATTATTTGACGTCATACCGAGGTTATTGGATATTTATCACCTACAGTTTAGAGGAGCTATGTCATTTTGTGACGCATGATTTGAACAAACAACCCAAAAACAAATCCGTGTGCTTAATACGATGCTGGATGAGAAATAATGTGTTTTGTTTCAAAAGCTTAATTTGAAAAATATTCGCCCTCGCCCTCGCCCTCGCCCTCGCCCTCGCCCTCGCCTTCCTAAATGGTAATTGATTGGTCACTGGATGTATAATTTACCATTCATTTTAAAGAACTTGTGTATGTGTAGTAGGTGAGGTAAAATGGGGTTTTACGTCGTGCTTGAGAATATTTCGCTCATATGACGACGTGCATGCGTGTGTATGTGTATGTGTGGCTGCTTGTACTAGCCCAGACTGAAGCTGGTTTTATAGTTCTAGCCCACTGAGATACCATACCGCAGTGAAGCAGGAATACCCCACTCAGACACATTATACTGACTCCGAGCCGACCAGTCCTTGTTGTACCCATTAATGCCGAGCGCCAGGCAGGGACCAACACGTACCATATTTTAACGTGTTTTGGTATGACGCGTGTATGTGTAGTAACTTGGTCTGGTTGAAATAAATCCGATGTAAAATTACAATGCACTCACTCACTGTATATTTTATCCATATTACTACACTCATTTATATAGATTCTAGTCTGTCTCACAGTCCCTGAACCACATTATTTTCCCTACTGCCAAACATTATCTGCAATGCTAAAGCCCTAAATATAGCAAGTCTAGATTTCCCACGGTTCAGGTTCTGAATCTCTGGTGTCCCTGGCGCTCCTTTTCAGTTTAAATGGTCTTGTTTGTTACTATCAAAATTATATATATTCAGAGACTAAGCTTTAGTCTGTACAGAGTCTGATATAGAGGGATCTCGTGGGGATTCCGGGATGGGACAGACTCCCAGGGGCGACCGGATTGATGGGGGAGGTTGAAGGGGAGTTCGTGTGGGGCCCAAATTTCGGTGACTATTCTATTTTTGCTGCATTCTTGCACTCCGACAGCGTGGATTGATGCTTACAATATCGATCACTGGTTTACATGACGCGACGTTTTCCTTAGTGACTTGACGTGACAACTGATGGAAACAAACAAACAGTGATGCATGTTACATATACATAAATAATTCGATAGAATTGTTCGACATGTGTGGGTTGCCGAAGACAAATTCTAACCCGTATCTTCTCAGGGCTTCCTAGGATGTAAGCATGCATTTCTTGAATAGTCATTTAGCAACTTTTCAAACTTCTTTGCTATCATATTCTGGAATCGAGTTATTTTCTTAAGTGCGGTTGTTGTGAACTGTGGATCGTAGACATGAAAACGCTATCTCCTCGCTTCAGATGTCTGTAAGTTGTTTTCGATGAGATATTATCAACTGGGCAAGTCGTACAACATCAGTTTAAGTGTCCTACCAGCCTGCCTTAACTCACTTCCCAACACAGTTAAGACGTAAGGAAGTTATTATATTTTTAACAACATCGTAGATATTCGTTTAAACCCTCACTTAAAAATGTATGCTGCAAATTTTTCAAGCTCATTATCTGTTGAAATTAAAATTGATGATGCTGATGATGATGTCGTCACCAAATTGTGCGCATCTGATTCTCATCATCATCATCATCAGTTTTATGATGGTAGAAACACCCTCGGACCGATGTGGGAAGTTGGTTAAACTCAGTAATGAGTCATCGGTTTAACCATACATCATGTCTCCATGCCGTGTATATATGGTGAGGTGAAATTAGGTTTAACGTCGTGCTTGAGAATATTTCGCTCATATGACGACGTGCATGCGTATGTGTATGTGCGGCTGCTTGTACTAGCCCAGACTTAAGCTGGTTTTACAGTGCTAGCCCACTGAGATACCATGCCGCAGTGAAGCATGAATATCCCACTCAGACACATTATACTGACTCCGAGCCGATTAGTCCTTGATGTACCCATTAATGCCGAGCGCCAGGCAGGGACCAACAAGTACCATATTTTAACGTGTTTTGGTATGACTTGGTCGGGGATTGAACCCGCGACCTTCCGCTCTCCGGGCGGACGCTCTAACCGCTACACCACGGAGGCGGTCGTATATATTTAGAACTATTGTCAGTACTGTTCTCTGTGACCCGTTCCGCCTATGGTATTGTAAAGTGTTAGCTTATCATTAGTGAATGAGTTTTAGTTTTACGCCGCTTTTAGCAATATTCCAGCAATAGCATGGTGGGGGACACCAGAAATGGGCTTCACACATTGTACCCATGTGGGGAATCGAACCCGGGTCTTCGGCGTGACGAGCGAACGCTTTAACCACTAGGCTACGCCACCGCCCCTGCTTATCCTTAGTGTGCAGCCAGTATTTTGGAATCCAGAGCGTTCACACCACTTCAGGGGCGATGGGGTAGCCTAGTGGTTAAAGCGTTCGCTCGTCACGACGAAGAACCGGGTTCGATTCCCCACATGGGTACAATGTGTGAAGCTTATTTCTGGTGTTCCAAGCTGTGATATTGCTGGAATATTGCTAAAAGCGGCGTAAAACCCAACTCACTCACTCTCTTATCTATGGTGTCTCACAATTTCATTCCTCGGATAGAATATGTCTAGTTCCCTATCGGTGTCCTCTATCGCAATTCTTGGACAGACTTTATTTCCTGTACGACCCGTAAAGGTCCTGGTTAAAATGAACCTTCAGCAACCATGCTTGTCGTAAAGAGGCGACTAACGGGATCAGGTTGTCAGACTCGCTAACTTGGTTGACACATGTCACTGACCCTGTTGATGAAGGTGTGTACTTTCGTTCGTCCAGCAGTCCGGCGTGTCTCTATCGTTTGTTTTGTCAAATCACTGTGAATACTACTTAAGGTTAAAAACAACACATTCTTAATATAAACCAGGTCTATTGTTTTAAAATGCTTTTATTTTGGGGGTGGGGGGTCGGTCCACCTAATATCGTACATTAATGCTTATGTAACACAGTGATCGTTTTAAATGGATCACATTTGACAAAACTAGTGCTTTAGACGTCATACAGTTATATAACTGCTGTTTCAAATTAATTATATTTTTAAAGAGCACATTCGATGTATCTAGTGACTTGATAACTTCCGTTGATGAAGTAAATCGGTAACATTCACAGACATCTGCTTTGGGGAAGATGAAATACAATCCATATGACGTCAGTTCTGATGTCAAGAAATAACGTTTATTCCCTTCCTGTTCCTTGACTTGGCTTTATCTTGGTTCAGCTAATTAGGACAGATGCACATCATTTAAATTCAGTCGCCACTTTCGTCTGTAATTAATCTAACCACATTGACAAGTGAGTAAGTCACGTGGTCCCCCATACACGTGTGACTCTGGAGTGAGTGAGTATGGTTTGACGCCGCTTTTAGCAACATTCAAGCAATATCACGGAGGGGGACACCAGAAAATGGGACACTCTGGAATTGTAGACAGCAGACGAATATTTTACAAGGTATAAGGAAAGGTTTTTCATTAAAAAAATCTTCAAATATTTTACAATGTATAAGAAAAGGTTTTTCAGTAAAGAATCTTAACATTCTTAGGTATGCACATAGGCATCCCTTTAAAACATACCAAAAATTTCCTTAGATATTCGAAAATGTCCATTTGTTACACTGACATCAAATACTGAAATATTCGTTACAAAATACACACTTGTGTCCCGACAGACCTGATAAGATAAGGGAGGCCTAGTTTCAATGTCATGTTCATAGACAGTCCTCAGTCCGTGAATCATGTCATTCCTCAGACTCCTGATCTTCACGTGCATGGTGACAGCGAGCACGTGCAGTTTACCGTTTGACTGGTGCTCCCTACCTCAGTGGGAGTCGGTACAGCGCACACTGCAAGGAGTCATCAAGAATGACGTTCCTAACATGGAAACGGTAGGCAAGTTTACTGTTATTTCGTCAAGACAGTTGCGATTATCCGAGACATTCACGGAATCCCTGATACATACGTCTTCACACAGACGCTCTCACTGGCTAATATAGTCGACAAAATATTCTTTACACTGTGACGTCATTAAGACGTTTGTGAGTTCACAGAATGTTTTGTATTGGTTTAACGCTATCTTGAACAATAAGTTGAAAAAACTCAAACAAAAACATCGGAGTCGTGTTCTTTATTATGATGGTGTCTAATCACAAATCTAATGAAAATATGAAGGAAATGTTTTGTTTAGAGGCAAGATAAGACATATTACAATTCGCAGTCCGCTTGAAATTTGGTCCGTTACTGAAATCATCTCACCACAAGTGGTTATTACCTTTGTTGACACTGACCTGTATCGACTACCTGATTGGTTAACGTAGCGCTCAGCATTATTCCAGTCATATGACGGTGGATTAAGGAATCAAGTCTGGACCGACAGTAATTGATATTTGAAGTCGCATCTCACAGGCTGCCAAACGCCTATAGGATGTAATATTTTCTAACTACAGAGCAGCTTCAAAATATCGTACGACCAGAATCATTCGAGAATAGCGACCACACAGCCACAAGACGGACAATCACCAGAAGTCCAGAAAATCTACGATTACACACATGTGAGTGAGTATTTTCCGCTTAATGCACTTTGAACAATATTCATCTTACCTCTTTTGAGTGGCATTAGGAAGCTGGTTTGATGAAGGAGAATATTTGTTTATGTTTAGACAACTTCATTATTGCAATATATACAACGTTTAGGTGTAGACGCTAACCCCATTGTCAAGCAAGTCACGTGTTAGCATCTACACCAACACGGTGCATCTGTTGCAATAAAGAAGTTGTCTGTCCTTAAAAAAATGTTTCGATTCACTTTTAATATTTAACTTATATGACCCATGGAGCTGACAAACCTAGAAATATAACCGACGAGGAAAGGGTTCGAGCCCAAGAGTGCAGCTCAACAGCGCCTTCGACAACTTGGCCACCCGTGCCCTCCTTGAATGGACCAAAATAAGTATGTTGATAAAGTATGTTTAAAATATGTAATTTTGTTCCAGAAAACATTGTACATAGTCGAAAACGACACCTGCAGAAAAGTCCTGCTGAATGAAACTTTCAGAAAAGCATGCATTCCACGTAAGTACGTGTCCGATTTCGAGAACATTTTTGTTTGTTGCTTAACACAGCACTCAGCAATAGTCCAACTATATGGTGGTCAATAAATAATCGAATCTGGACCAGACAATCATGTTCAACACCATGAGAATCGATCTACGCAACAGGGATACGATGACATGTGTCAACCAAGTCAGCGAGCCTGACTACCCGATCCCGTTAGTTGCCTCTTACGACAAGCCTGGGTTGCTGAAGATCATTTTAACCCGGATCTTCACGGGTACGTGTCCTATTGACAGAAGTGGTTCGATTTTGCGTTATACCAAAAGATGGTACTTGTTTTTCCCTGCCTAGCGCTTTGCAGTACGTGGATAATAGGGCGAGTCGTTTCGGAGTCAATATATGTTATACTGGATTTTCTCTCACAAGCATAACCAGCCTGACGTAGAGATGCCTATTGCTGTATGAATGCAATGATCGTGCAATCGGCGTTAAATCCCAGTTTACGTCACTTCACATCCTCGTCCTCAGGGGACGCCAACTTCAGCTGGGACAAGACCAGATACGGCATGGACTACGACAACGCAGTATGGATTCAAGAATTCCGAGGCACAGAGGAAGGCATCAGATACATCCTGCAGACTACGTACGACCACATGCCGGTGTTTGAGACAATCTACGGAGTTATTAACGGAGGTGACTGCGTCTTTCTAAGACTATATGTACTGGGGCTATGTACTGTAGCTCAAAAGCCAAATTATCTATGATACAGATGAGGTATCTTCAGGGGAACCCATTTTGGGCCCCTCTGTTCTGGAAATCGAATTTAATACTTAAACTCCATTTGCTTGGTTAATGAAATGTTCAGTGGTCGGACGGGTTCAGAATCGTAACAGCACGTTAATGTATGGTTAATTCGAGTCGGTTCCACACTGTGATAGTTGTTAGATGCTAATCACTTACAAGACATATTGGTTACCTCAGGCAGGTGCAATATAGAGGACACAACGTGATCACATGATACAGGTGCACTGTACCTGTCGTGAGTAATGACGTCAGAGCAAGCTGTGCAGGCACTTTTTAAATGATATTACACTTTCGTTCAGAAAGCGTTATTTGGCTCACTCCCCATTATGACTATTTGCAATAAGGGACCGTTCATAATTTATGGCTCGGGTCGGTGGTGGTGATTTACATGGAGAAGCATGTACGATGTGAAACACCCAACACCCCACCCACCCACCCCAATCCATGTACAATGTAAGTGACCCCCCTGCTTGTCATGTACAAAATCAATTACCCTCCCCTCCCATCCCATAATTTTTAAGCATAACTTTTTAAATTATGATCGGTCCCTAAGAACCATCCAATTTTAACAAATGTATCAGTCTATCACAACCACGAAGAGGCATTAGTGCGCTTAGATTGTGACACAGTAAATAGGAGAGCCAGTTGACCTGTGATTCATATTTCAGTTTGACGCAGGTAATTGGCACGGTGATTACAGAACACGTTCCCCATCCCTTCCCCAGACAACAGCGAAAATAACTCCCATTTACCACTTCTTTGAATTGTCTACTGTCTTTCAGTGTTCGATTCCAAACTCCTATTTATTGCACCAGTTTGGCACATATTCGAGCAACGAAAGAGATATTCTGCGCCATATGCGTGTGTTTACATCTTAAATGGTAACTATGGCGATGACGCAAGAACGTGGATTAAAGGTATTAAAAGGTTTATAAATAGATTTACCCACCTGAGCCAGAATTAACGAGACCAAAACAGTTTAACTGCGTTCATATATAGATCTGTGCTTAAAGGGTCACAGTGACATTACACTCTCCAAGGTCTGTGTGACATTTAGGGTTACTTCAACATTCCAATAGTCAGCTTCTCCTTTAGGGACCGTTCATAAATTATGGGGTTGGGGATGGGGTGGGGTAGTAATATTTAGAAACATATACTTAAAGACTATCGGAAGGGAAGGGGTGGGGGTGTAATTGATTTTGTGACAAGCAGGGCGGGGTTATGATGATCAGTTTTAGGGGAGGTGGGAAAGAGTCATTTACGCTGTATATGGCGGTGGGGTAGCCAAGTGGGATACCCTACATAGGTACAGTGCGTAAAGCCCATTTCGGGTGTACCACCCCCCTGTGATATTGCTGGAATATTGCTAAAAGCGGTAAAACTAAACTCACTCATCCTTTATATCTGGTATTATTCCAGCAACTCCAGACTTTTAGTTTTACCTTTAGAGATCATTTACAAATTTGATGCATCAGTGTTAAAAAATACTCCATTCCCAAGTTTGACTTGTGGCACTGTTTTCGTGTCTGTTTAAGTGAACAATTTACTTGCCTTGCAGCATGCATGTGTTTATGACGGGTGTCACTGGTGGGAAAGGATTCGACCACATTGTCGCGAATACCAGATATCAGCATGTCTGATAGTGATTCATAAACACATGCATATGATCTTACAATGGAATCTAGTTTTGTTAGATATTTAGATCCTTTTGTTCTGTAATAAAGTTTGTCACTTATATCATTTAATAAACCATCTCATTTTTCTGGCAGAGTATATGTTTTCTAACTATGCCTTCGTCAACACAACGATTGGAATCAAGAACCCGGATGTGTTCGTCCCGCCACCTAGCTGCAAGGGGGCGAACTACGAGGTGGGTTGACTGTAGCAAACTGTTCCATAAGTTATGATTGTGAGGAAACGTTACAATCGGTGCATCGTGATATCAGCAGCAGTTTTCATATATATTATTAGGGAACCCAATGAATCTAGACTTGCTTGGACATTTTAAATGTATTAGTGAGTGAGCTGGTATTGTAATATGGTTTTAAAAATATTTCATCAATGTTACGTCGAGACACTCCTGAAATGGAAGGTCGCGGGTTCGATCCCCGACCCCATCATACCAAAAAGACGTTAAAATATGGTACTTGTTGGTCACTGTCTGGCGCTCGGCATTAATGGGTACAACAAGGACTGGTCGGCTCGGAGTCAGTATAATGTGTCTGAGTGGGGTATTCATGCTTCACTGCGGCGTGGTATCTCAGTGGGCTAGCGCTATACAACCAGCTTCAGTCTGGGCTAGTACAAGCAGCCGCACATACACATACACACGCATGCACGTCGTCATATGAGCGAAATATTCTCCAGCACGATGTAACGACACTGGTTACATCCGTTGTGTTTTTTGCGCTTATTCGGACGGTTTAGTTCTGTAACGCACAATGTGATTGATATAATATCAAGTCCGTACCAGACCGCCAAATATTTCGAGCGGCAGAGCCTCGTTTTGAGATTTCCACGATTTCCAGGTTTCTGTTTGTGAGAGTAAGCTGTACGACAGAGCACGCTGCACGACAAGTTTGCAAGGATTATAAGGAGCGTAGTGTTGCAATATACAAATGCTTAGATGTATCAAATAATACTGATTAATATTTATGTATCCAGTTAAATGAATTGGTCTAAAAATTCTGGACTGGTTATTGTACTAATTTGTGCAATAGGACGGAACCCATTCAACAGGAAACGAGACTGTTGTTCAATCAATGTTTTGATTTGTGAGACATGCATAACCCATTGGAGTCAATGCAAGACATATGCTATAGTGACTGGGAGAATATTACATCCAAAACACTAAACCAACCCAATGATAGGTATATACCACATTTCATTTGAAACCTCTGAGTGACCGCCTCCGTGGTGTAGTAGTTAGAGCGTCCGCCCGGAGAGCGGAAGGTCGCGGGTTCAATCCCCGACCGCGTCATACCGAAAGACGTTAAAATATGGTACTTGTTGGTCCCTGCCTGGCGCTCGGCATTAATGGGTACAACAAGGACTGGTCGGCTCGGAGTCAGTATAATGTGTCTGAGTGGGGTATTCATGCTTCACTGCGGCATGGTATCTCAGTGGGCTAGCACTATAAAACCAGCTTCAGTCTGGGCTAGTACAAGCAGCCGCACATACACATACACACGCATGCACGTCGTCATATGAGCGAAATATTCTCCAGCACGACGTTAAACCCAATTTCACCTCACCTCACCTGAATTGGACTTCACATATTTCACCAACTTGGGGGCTCGAACAAGGAAACGCTTAAACTAACAGGCTAAATACTTGTGGGTATGTTTCACAGACGAGGTAGTCTTATCAGAACCCTTGGGTGGTTTAAGTGTTCACCAGTCACGATTGGACCTGGGTTCGATTCCACATCAGGTTACAATGTGACGGTATTCTCCACGACGACCTTCCTGGAACATTGAGGCGTAGTAAAACTATACTCAGTTATCGTTTGATTTCACATTGCCTTCCCTCCTTCTGCTATAGGGGAGGTGGGGAGGCCTAGTGGTTAAAGCGTTCGCTCGTCACGCACAAGACCCGGGTTCGATTCCCCACATGGGTACAATGTGTGTAGCCCATTTCTGGTGTCCCCTGTCGTGATATTACTGAAATATTGCTAAAAGCGGCGTAAAACTATATTCACTAACTCACTCTTCTGATGTATAACCAGCACCAATTGAAGTTGAAATGTTCGTTGGGTACAGATAGAACAAAACCTGTCGAGGCCACAAGTAAAGTGTTTTCCGATTGACCGGAATCCTTGCTTTGTATGTGGAACCAACCTACCTTCAAGTCAGCAAGTGTTAGCCCGATATAAAGTACATGCTCTTACCAGAACAAATTAGTGCCTCAAACTCTGTAACTTAAAGTTCTGTTTCACCTCGCAATCTGCTCATGATTCGTTCATTTTGTGTTTAGCCCGCTGTTCCAAGAAGACCTGGGTTTATGACGTTCTGAGAAGAGGCAGAACAGTGAGCATAAAGACATCCAGAAATGACAATAGCAGAAAATAAAATTAAATAAACAGATAATCTTTGAAGACATCCGTCAACATGTTGATCAAATCGTATGACAACAAACGACTACAGACCGTTTGAGTCAGAAACGGACCGATGAATTGCAAATTTTATCATTGTACAAAATTGCCACATAAATATATATAGTACACATGTTTATCATTTACTAATACCCAACAGCTTTCTTATATTTGTGTTCCGTTTCTGCGGTTTCACCCCGCCGCGACAGATAACAACTTTTGCGTTTTCAATTATGATAGTTTCTTAAACAACTTTTTTGGTGGAGTCCGGCAAATTTTAAAAAATAAGAAAGCTGTTGGGTATTAGTAAATGATAAACATGTGTACGATATATATTTATGTGGCAATTTTGTACAATGATAAAATTTGCAATTCATCGGTCCGTTTCTGACTCAAACGGACTGTATCTGAAAACGGCCGTTTTGGAAAGTGGGCGGAACATGATTAAAAAGTATTTCTTGTTGGGCCCCTCTCTGTCTGGTGTTGGGGAGGTGGGGTAGCATAGTGGTTAAAGCGTTCGCTCCTCACGCTGAAGGCCCAGGTTCGATTCCTCACATTGGTTAATGTGTGAAGCCCATTTCTGGTGTCTCCGCCGTGATATTGCTGGGGTATTGCTAAAAGCGGCGTAAAACTAAACTCACTTACTCATGACCAGTATGAATGGTATGTTATCATTATCTGTATGACGTCATCATGACATCAGAATATACTATCAGACATCACGTAACGATTCACCCACATCGCCTTCAGCAAGCACTGTTCAAACATTGAGGGCTAATGTCGGATACAGCCGTTTGGAACCTGTGGCTAATTATGTGCGTTAAAGGTGCACGTGCTGATGGTGCACGTGCCAGACACCAGTAGGTCACAGGGGTCAGTACTGAGCAGTGTTGTGTTGATGACCACGAGATGCGGGGCTCTTTAGAAACAGGCACGCTTGTGTTTGATGCTGGGTGTTGTTTGTTGATGTTTATACGTCGGATGGAGGAACAGCTTTACCTGGAGGACGTTAAGCGAACACCTCTTTCATCGTAGGGAGAAGATGCGAAGTCTTAACCAGCTGCAGAATCCACAGCAAATCGTTCTCCACTCCAGGAATGACTTCATCTTTTCTAGATGTTCAGGATGTTTGATGAAGTTCTATAGCTGAGTATTACTCGGTAATCGAGAAATCACGAGAATCCTAGGGTCCCCACAGCTGCGTCAGTTCCATTTGTTTAAGATGCAGGGTCAGTGCACGGTGAGTGACTTACTTGAACAAAACCGTATTCAAGAACAAAGTTCAAAAATATATATCAAATTCCAAAAGGTTAAGTGATTGGATATAATGTGTATGATCTAACTAATTCATGTATTCATTGTATTGTATATATCATTTTGTATATATCTTTCTATCCCTGTACATATAGTTTGTTTCACTTTTACATGTAAGCACTGTAAATAGGAGAGGGTTTCACTAAGTTGGCATAACTTGTACCCAATCCATTCTCTTGAATAAATATGTTTAAATCAAATCAAGAACAAAACCGCAACGTCATCCTTATGGTTTCTTTATATACTTCTTAGAGCTCAAGACTTGCGCGCTATTTTGTCTGTCTCAGGTTATACCCAAATATAACTCTTAAACTGGAATTCTTTGAAAAATTACAATGAATATAGTTGTTATTATTTTTTATAAAAGGGAAGCATTGTCAATAAACCAATTTAACGCAAACGACTTGCTCTGCTTATACACCCGGTGTGAACAGAGAGGTGACACAACACCGTGGATATTGACGACTGACCTGTTTAACCTTGACGTAGGTGCAGACGACATATTGTGACTCACGTCTTTTCGGCGGGAAGCACTGACCATCTCTAATGATCTCGATACGAGCTGAACCAGTGGCAGACGACAACACGGTCCATCTGAATACCTTCAATCACATGAAGTTAGTTAGTAGCTCCCTCCAACCATTCAACTGCCATAGATCTGGATTATTTTAACAAGTTTACAGTCGACATTATCACTGACGACAAACCAAAACAAAGGATACGCCGGAATGTGGGTAAGCATTAAGAAGACTTACAAAATTACTGTGTATCCGGCAATACAGACAGACGACATAGCGTGACGAGAATGTGTTAATGCCTGTTATATCTAACTTGAGACTCAGACGATACACAATGGCCTTTGGACGACCAGCATTACAATCAGACGACAACACTCTTCCACCTCATTCCATTCCCATCAAGACAGAAACGTTAATCTTCAGTGTCCGACGCTTGTGATGAACTTGACCATGAGAAACAGACAAATCTCCATTAGAGCAATATCCACGCCATCTCCTCTGCGGCCAGTTCATTAATTCCTGCATCTATCGACTGATTAAACACCGCGGTGTCTCCCCCCTCTCGTCTGTCAGACAGCACCAGTCGCCATCACTGACCACATCATCTGACCTGGAGCGATGTCTCCAGGGATATCCTAGAGCGGCAAAACCTATTGACTTCATTTAATACATTTTATACATTTACAACATTCAAATGTCACTTTAATTACCATCAGTGACATCTGACCTAGAGTGACGTCTCCAGGTTTATCCGTGAACGGTAAATAAATAAATGGTAGGGGAATAATATGCCAAAAGTTGTCACGTGACGTTTACAGGAGTCGAAGATTCTCGCAAACATTTACAGCAGACACTCTCTACTTCAAGGGTTCAGTCCATCCATACATTCACGTGAATCCAACGTCTACCACGTCACTCTGACATTATGTCTGTCTGCTGACAAATTAGAAGGTCAAGGTCACCGAGATCCTAAAACATTATATCACAAACATGCAACTGTAAGTGATATATCCATGACGTCACGTCACCTGTTGTGACGTCATATATTAGCGTTATGGCAATACACGTTGCCTGTGGAATTATACAAAGACTCTGTGCGATGCCAGATCGAGCCATCCTCGTGGAAGTTCCAGTCTAAATCGTTTCTGTGTTTACAGACTGTCAGTTTTTTTAACCAGTAAATATCACCCACATGTTTACAAAGTAAAGGGCATATTTACATCCGACATATTCTTTATTTCCGGCAAGTGATGGATCGTGCAACGGTCTAGTGTTGATAATGAAGACACATCTGTTTATATTATGAGTTCGCCCAGTCTTTGTAGGATAAAACTGTGTCTGGGCAGAATGGTGATGATTCGCGACTCAAACATCGGTGCAAATATGAAATTTAAGAACTTATTGTTACAACGTATGTTGCTGTTTTTATATTTGCTATTGTATGACTGATTGACTGACTGAGTTTGGTTTTACGCCGCTTTTAGCAATATTCCAGCAACATCACGGCGGGGGACACCAGAAATGGGCTTCACACAATGTACCCATGTGGGGATTCGAACCCGGGTCTTCGGCGTGACGAGCCAACGCTTTAACCACACGGCTACCCCACCGCCCCGCTATTGTATGAAGCATGGCGTGATCCAAACTCCAGTTCATGTCATTTTCACAATTAAGTACACATCAGAATGATTAACTGATGACTCTTATGACAAAGGAGCTCATGTTGCCAAATTTGTTTGTTCGTTGTTTAACGCCGCACTCAGCAATATTCCAGCAATATGGCGATGGTCTGTAAATATCGAGTCTGGACCAGACAATCCAGTGATCAACAGCATAAACCTCGGTCTAGGTAGTTACGATACGATGACACGTGTCAACCAAGTCAGCGAGCCTGACCACCCGATCCTCCCGTCAGTCGCCTCTTACGACAAGCGTGGGTTCCTGAAGATCAGTTCTAACCCGGATCTTCACAGGTGCCCAATTAGCTGTGTAACTTTATTCCGTAGTCGGGTCTCAAAACGTATGATCATGGGTTCGAATCCAAGATTGACACTCATGATGGTTCTCGGTTTGTTAGCGCCACACCGTGCTCGTATGTTTCACCACAGTAATACACGTGTGAGACACTTCGTCACGTACGGCTTTCCTTTCACACTGATACATACAGCGAAATAACTGAAATACTGTTTAAATGGCGTTAAAGCAAACTCACTCATACATAGAAGAATGTATTTGTTACAGTTTCCTTTTGTTTAAGGTATTGTCAGATATTTGTTGCCTTCGCCATGCTGGAACAAACCCGTGAAGATCCGGTAAAAAACATCAGTCCATCAGTTTCAGCAATGTTCCAGCAATACCAGATATGCTTCACAGATTGCACCCATGTGTACCCGGGTTTTCGGCGTGAAGAGCGATCGCGTTAATCACAAGCTTTCCCCACCGCCCTCAGTATGGATGAAAACCCCATTACATCTCACCTAGCCCAATAAATAGTAGGGAATAACATGCCAAAAGTTGTCACGTGACGTTTCCAGGAGACGAAGATTCTCGCAAACATTTACAGCAGACACTCTCTACTTCAAGGGTTCAGTCCATCCATACATTCACGTGAATCCAACGTCTACCACGTCACTCTGACATTATGTCTGTCTGCTGACAAATTAGAAGGTCAAGGTCACCGAGATCCTAAAACATTATATCACAAACATGCAACTGTAAGTGATATATCCATGACGTCACGTCACCTGTTGTGACGTCATATATTAGCGTTATGGCAATACACGTTGCCTGTGGAATTATACAAAGACTCTGTGCGATGCCAGATCGAGCCATCCTCGTGGAAGTTCCAGTCTAAATCGTTTCTGTGTTTACAGACTGTCAGTTTTTTTAACCAGTAAATATCACCCACATGTTTACAAAGTAAAGGGCATATTTACATCCGACATATTCTTTATTTCCGGCAAGTAATGGATCGTGCAACGGGCTGTTGTTAATGAAGACACATCTGTTTATATTATGAGTTCGCCCAGTCTTTGTAGGATAAAACTGAGTCTGGGCAGAATGGTGATGATTCGCGACTCAAACATCGGTGCAAATATGAAATTTAAGAACTTATTGTTACAACGTATGTTGCTGTTTTTATATTTGCTATTGTATGACTGATTGACTGACTGAGTTTGGTTTTACGCCGCTTTTAGCAATATTCCAGCAACATCACGGCGGGGGACACCAGAAATGGGCTTCACACAATGTACCCATGTGGGGATTCGAACCCGGGTCTTCGGCGTGACGAGCCAACGCTTTAACCACACGGCTACCCCACCGCCCCGCTATTGTATGAAGCATGGCGTGATCCAAACTCCAGTACATGTCATTTTCACAATTAAGTACACATCAGAATGATTAACTGATGACTCTTATGACAAAGGAGCTCATGTTGCCAAATTTGTTTGTTCTTTGTTTAACGCCGCACTCAGCAATATTCCAGCAATATGGCGATGGTCTGTAAATATCGAGTCTGGACCAGACAATCCAGTGATCAACAGCATAAACCTCGGTCTAGGTAGTTACGATACGATGACACCGTGTCAACCAAGTCAGCGAGCATTCAACGACCACCCGATCCTCCTGTCAGTCGCCTCTTACGACAAGCGTGGGTTCCTGAAGATAAGTTCTAACCCGGATCTTCACAGGTGCCCAATTAGCTGTGTAACTTTATTCCGTAGTCGGGTCTCAAAACGTATGATCATGGGTTCGAATCCAAGATTGACACTCATGATGGTTCTCGGTTTGTTAGCGCCACACCGTGCTCGTATGTTTCACCACAGTAATACACGTGTGAGACACTTCGTCACGTACGGCTTTCCTTTCACACTGATACATACAGCGAAATAACTGAAATACTGTTTAAATGGCGTTAAAGCAAACTCACTCATACATAGAAGAATGTATTTGTTACAGTTTCCTTTGTTTAAGGTATTGTCAGATATTTGTTGCCTTCGCCATGCTGGAACAAACCCGTGAAGATCCGGTAAAAAACATCAGTCCATCAGTTTCAGCAATGTTCCAGCAATACCAGATATGCTTCACAGATTGCACCCATGTGTACCCGGGTTTTCGGCGTGAAGAGCGATCGCGTTAATCACAAGCTTTCCCCACCGCCCTCAGTATGGATGAAAACCCCATTACATCTCACCTAGCCCAATAAATAGTAGGGAATAACATGCCAAAAGTTGTCACGTGACGTTTCCAGGAGTCGAAGATTCTCGCAAACATTTACAGCAGACACGCTCTACTTCAAGGGTTCAGTCCATCCATACATTCACGTGAATCCAACGTCTACCACGTCACTCTGACATTATGTCTGTCTGCTGACAAATTAGAAGGTCAAGGTCACCGAGATCCTAAAACATTATATCACAAACATGCAACTGTAAGTGATATATCCATGACGTCACGTCACCTGTTGTGACGTCATATATTAGCGTTATGGCAATACACGTTGCCTGTGGAATTATACAAAGACTCTGTGCGATGCCAGATCGAGCCATCCTCGTGGAAGTTCCAGTCTAAATCGTTTCTGTGTTTACAGACTGTCAGTTTTTTTAACCAGTAAATATCACCCACATGTTTACAAAGTAAAGGGCATATTTACATCCGACATATTCTTTATTTCCGGCAAGTAATGGATCGTGCAACGGGCTGTTGTTAATGAAGACACATCTGTTTATATTATGAGTTCGCCCAGTCTTTGTAGGATAAAACTGAGTCTGGGCAGAATGGTGATGATTCGCGACTCAAACATCGGTGCAAATATGAAATTTAAGAACTTATTGTTACAACGTATGTTGCTGTTTTTATATTTGCTATTGTATGACTGATTGACTGACTGAGTTTGGTTTTACGCCGCTTTTAGCAATATTCCAGCAACATCACGGCGGGGGACACCAGAAATAAGCTTCACACAATGTACCCATGTGGGGATTCGAACCCGGGTCTTCGGCGTGACGAGCCAACGCTTTAACCACACGGCTACCCCACCGCCCCGCTATTGTATGAAGCATGGCGTGATCCAAACTCCAGTTCATGTCATTTTCACAATTAAGTACACATCAGAATCATTAACTGATGACTCTTATGACAAAGGGTATCAAAGGAGCTGATGTTGCCAAATTTGTTTGTTCGTTGTTTAACGCCGCACTCAGCAATATTCCAGCAATATGGCGATGGTCTGTAAATATCGAGTCTGGACCAGACAATCCAGTGATCAACTGCATGAACCTCGATCTAGGTAGTTACGATACTATGACACGTGTCAACCAACTCAGCGAGCCTGACCACCCGATCCTCCCGTCAGTCGCCTCTTACGACAAGCATTGGTTCCCGAAGATCAGTTCTAAACCGGATCTTCACATGTGCCCAATTAGCTGTGTAACTTTATTCCGTAGTCGGGTCTCAAAACGTATGATCATGGGTTCAAATCCAAAATTGACACTCATTATGGTTCTCGGTTTGTTAGCGCCACACCGTGCTCGTATGTTTCACCACAGTAATACACGTGTGAGACAGTCGTCACGTACGGCTTTCCTTTCACACTGATACATACAGCGAAATAACTGAAATACTGTTTAAATGGCGTTAGAGCAAACTCACTCATACATAGAAGAATGTATTTGTTACAGTTTCCTTTTGTTTAAGGTATTGTCAGATATATGTTGCCTTCGCCATGCTGGAACAAACCCGTGAAGATCCGGTAAAAAACATCAGTCCATGAGTGAGTGAGTGAGTTTAGTTTTACCCTGCACTCAGCAATATTCCAGCTATATGACGGCGATAGTCCATGAGAGACGAGTGACCGGGTGGGTTGACAAATGTCATCGTATCCCTAATACGTTGATTCTGGTGTCCCCCGCCATGATATTGCTGGAATATCGCTAAAAGCGGCGTAAAACCCAACTCACTCACTCACCTAATGCGTTGATCGGTGCTCATAATGTCAACCACTGGATTCGAAAACTCTCGTTTACATTTCATCTTTAAACAACACATCAATGATTCGAGATCAGTCCCACACACGTGACTGCTAGCTGAAGTTTCATCTTAAATAAGCATGCAACTTGCTCTATTTGCTAGTGGAACATAACGATACCCAGCATGCCCCGGGACAGTGACGTATAAGCACGTGACATCGCCAACTAATCATACTGTCTGTTACCTGTACAAACACCCACTACTAGAGGGCTGATTGGTGGTGCGTGTAGTGATAAACAGAATATAGCAAAAGGCAGATGAGATGTTTGATAGGTCATCTATGCCTGGTGGTATAGTGTTATACAATATGGCAAGACATTTATACGGAAATGCAAGGGGTTATTCCTCACATTTTGATTCACGAACACCTGCCAACAAGAATGAAATGTACTCTTGGTCAGTACATTCTGCTCAATACGAAACCCGTATAATTGCTTGGAAAGCACGGATCTTTATTTATAAACCGAAATTTCTCGATAATTCGTTTCTTTTTTAAATTTTTATTTTTTATATACTTCGTTTATATATTCGTAATTTCTAATATTTTCTCGTTATTTCAAATTTATTTCAAAAGTCGAAATTCTGATATTGTATTCGTTATATTACTTATTTACTCGAAGTTTCGGGGTTTTCCGCGTTACTTTGAATACGTTCAGATTTGTTCTTAGTTTCGATTATTTTCTCGTTATTCCAAACATAGTTTTAAAAATCGAAATTATTACCTAACATCAACTATTAGTTAACCAGTTAAAACCTGATCGTTGTGCGGTATCATTTAATGATGGAGGTAAGCATAATCCGTCACATTCTAGATGTATACACTCACTCACTCACTCACTCACAGACTCGCCGACTGTGTTGAAACAACTGGTGGCATTACACAAGTTAATACCAATATTCTTTATTTCTAAATGGTAAATCCTACGAGCGAGTCCTAGATTTTCAGGATACCATGAGAACGTCGGGTGGAGCTGTCGGGTGGCTGAAACAAAGGTAACCTCAATCAGACAGACCTCATCTATCCGGATACCTGAGAAGCCAGGACACCAAGTAAAGCTCGTGGCTGCATAATGCTTTGTTATGAGGACAACACAGTCGGCATACAAACACCAGTCTTGTACTCTTTTATATATTAAGATGTAAAATTATAAAGCAATGTGTGTAGGTGTGTGAACCTACGTGTGTGCACATGGCGTGTATGCGCGTTTGTGTGTGTAATAAAACATTAAACAGTAGTATATATCCACATGTTTACTGATGCAAGATTCATATATGCGGGCGAGTGCCCCATGAGAGAAAGAGCGTGCTTCCGGATATACAAATTGTTTACCAGCCGTGTAGTGATAGCATGACCTCAATAATTATCGACTGGGTACAAATTCAATCTACTATATTAACACTGAATTTTGGTGAACTGATAACTTTAGCGACCTGACCCTTCAAACAACTGGCCTTGACTGTCAGTTCCTTACAGAATTACAGCGTGTTGTAACACTCTTCAAAATAATCACCGTACTTTAAGACATTCTTCAAATAATTACCGCATGATATAACATCTTCCAAATAGTTTACGTCACGATATACCATCTTCCAAAAAGGTTACGTCACGATATACCATCTTTCAAATAGTTTACCTCACGATATACCATCTTTCAAATTGTTTACCTCACGATATACCATCTTTCAAATTGTTTACCTCACGATATACCATCTTTCAAATAGTTTATCATGTCTTTCAAATTGTTTACCTCACGATATACCATCTTTCAAATAGTTTACCTCACGATATACCATCTTTCAAATTGTTTACCTTTCACGATATATCCATCTTTCAAATAGTTTCACCTCATGATATACCATCTTTCAAATAGTTTACTTCATGATATACCATCTTTCAAATAGTTTACCTCATGATATACCATCTTTCAAATTGTTTACCTCACGATATACCATCTTTCAAATAGTTTACCTCACGATATACCATCTTTTCAAATAGTTTACCTCACGATATACCATCTTTCAAATAGTTTATCTCATGATATACCATCTTTCAAATTGTTTACCTCATGATATACCATCTTTCAAATAGTTTACCTCATGATATACCATCTTTCAAATTGTTTACCTCATGATATACCATCTTTCAAATGGTTTACCTCACGATATACCATCTTTCAAATAGTTTACCTCATGATATACCATCTTTCAAATTGTTTACCTCACGATATACCATCTTTTCAAATTGTTTACCTCACGATATACCATCTTTCAAATTGTTTACCTCACGATATACCATCTTTCAAATTGTTTACCTCATGATATACCATCTTTCAAATAGTTTACCTCATGATATACCATCATTCAAATAGTTTACCTCATGATATACAATCTTTCAAATAGTTTACCTCACGATGTACCATCTTTCAACTAGTTTACCTCACGATATACCATCTTCAAATTGTTTACCTCACGATATACCATCTTTCAAATTGTTTACCTCACGATATACCATCTTTCAAATTGTTTACCTCACGATATACCATCTTTCAAATTGTTTACCTCACGATATACCATCATTCAAATTGTTTACCTCACGATATACCATCTTTCAAATTGTTTACCTCACGATATACCATCTTTCAAATTGTTTACCCTCACGATATACCATCTTTTCAAATTGTTTTTCCTCACGATATACCATCTTTCAAATTGTTTACCTCACACCTCACGATACACCATCTTTCAAATAGTTAACTTCACGATATACCATCTTTCAACTTGTTTACCTCACGATATACCATATTTCAAATTGTTTACCTCACGATATACCATCTTTCAAATTGTTTACCTCACGATATACCATCTTTTAAAATTTCACTTACCTCACGATACCATCTTTCAAATAGTTTACCTCACGATATACCATCTTTTCAAATTGTTTACCTCACGATATACCATCTTTCAAATAGTTTATATTCACGATATACCATCTTTCAAATTGTTTACCTCACGATATACCATCTTTCAAATTCGTTTACCCTCACGGTATACCATCTTTCAAATAGTTTACTTCACGATATACCATCTTTCAAATTGTTTACCTCACGATATACCATCTTTCAAATTGTTTACCTCACGATATACCATCTTTCAAATTGTTTACCTCACGATATACCATCTTTCAAATTGTTTACCTCATGATATACCATCTTTCAAATTGTTTACCTCCGATGATATACCATCATTTCAAAATTGTTTACCTCACGATATTGCCCGATAACTCATCTTTCAAATTGTTTACCTCAACTTGTTACCTCGCGATATACCATCATTCAAGTTGTTTACCTCACGATATACCATCATTCAAATTGATTTTCGATATACCATATCTTTCAAATTCGTTTAATTTCACGATATACCCATCCGCGATATACCATCATTCAAATTGTTTATTTACCCTTCACGATATACCATCTTTCAAATTGTTTACCTCATGATATACCATCTTTCAAATTGTTTACCTCACGATATACCATCATTCAAATTGTTAACCCCACGATATACCATCATTCAAAATTGTTTACCCCACGATATACCATTTCAAATTGTTTACCTCACGATATACCATCTTTCAAATTGTTTTTCCTCTTTGATATACCATCTTTCAAATTGTTTACCTCACGATATACCATCATTCAAATTGTTTACCTCTACGATATACCATCATTCAAATTGTTTACCTCACGATATACCATCTTCAAATTGTTTACCTCACGATATACCATCTTTCAAATTGTTTACCTCACGATATACCATCTTTCAAATAGTTTACTTCACGATATACCATCTTTCAAATTGTTTACCTCACGATATACCATCTTTCAAATTGTTTACCTCACGATATACCATCTTTCAAATTGTTTACCTCACGATATACCATCTTTCAAATGGTTTACCTCATGATATACCATCTTTCAAATTGTTTACCTCACGATATACTTTCTTTCAAATTGTTTACCTTACGATGTACCATCTTTCAACTTGTTTACCTCACGATATACCATCTTTCAAATTGTTTACCTCACGATATACCATCATTCAAATTGTTTACCTCACGATATACCATCTTTCAAATTGTTTACCTCACGATATACCATCTTTCAAATTGTTTACCTCACGATATACCATCTTTCAAATTGTTTTCCTCACGATATACCATCTTTCAAATTGTTTACCTCACGATATACCATCATTCAAATTGTTTTACCCTCAACGATATACCATCATTCAAATTGTTTACCTCACGATATACCATCTTTCAAATTGTTTACCTCACGATATACCATCTTTCAAATTGTTTACCTCACGATATACCATCTTTCAAATTGTTTACCTCACGATATACCATCTTTCAAATTGTTTACCTCACGATATACCATCTTTCAAATTGTTTACATCACGATATACCATCTTTCAAATTGTTTACCTCACGATATACCATCTTTCAAATTGTTTACCTCACGATATACCATCATTCAAATTGTTTACCTCACGATATACCATCTTCCAAATAGTTTACCGCGTAATATACCATCTTTCAAATAGTTTACCTCACGATATACAATATACGATATACAATGGTTCACATAGTTAACCTCATAATATACCATTTTTCAAATAATTACCGTATGGTATTACATCCTTCAAATAATTACCGTATGGTATTACATCCTTCAACTAATTACCGTGTGGTATTACATCCTTCAACTAATTACCGTGTGGTATTACATCCTTCAACTAATTACCGTATGGTATAACATCCTTCAACTAATTACAGTGTGATATTACATCCTTACAAAACGTTATCGCGAAGCAAACAACTTCTAATATCCTACAAATATAACGCATGCTGTACTATCCCGCAAATACTGGCCACCAGTTATAGGATGTAGCATTAACTAGTCTAGCAATCAGATTGAGTGATTGAGCATGAGGCTAGGTGAGTTCGAAACACCCTCCCTTATCATACAGGCCAAGAGTAGAACATCGACGAAAGTCATGTCATGACGTCGACAACTCCGTCTGTCACTACCTTGACGTCTACGGCCTTGCACAACGGCGGCGGGGTGAACACTGCCGGGTCCTGGATGCCAACAGTGACGTTCATGAAGTTGGAGTTCTGATACATCGGATCTGTAAGGACGGTAATATGTTGTATAGATTTCCTTGTACACTGTCAACGTACAATCGAACTGGGGCAGTGGGTAGCCTAGTGGTTAAACCAGACCCGGATTCGATTCCCCACCTGGGTACAATGTGTGAAGCCCATTTCTGGTGTCCCCTGCCATGATATTACTGGAATATTGCTAAAAGCGACGTAAAACCATACTCTTTCACTCACTTCAATCAAACTTGATTGAACCAACCATCAGATGAGTTGAAATGAGATTCAAGATGATCTCACACATGTAAATGCGTGTGGGTTTGTGTTTATACGAAACAGTCTTATAGCGATAGCACGGTGACACAGCATGCCACGGGTTTAACATTAAATACCCCCACTCATTCACATATGACACATAAACCCGTGAAGATCCGGATTAGAATTGATCTTCAGTAACCCATGCTTGTCATAAGAGGCGACTAACGGGATCGAGTGGTCCAGCTCGTTGACATGCCATCGTATCTCAATTGCGTTGATCGTTGCTCATGCTGTCGATCACTGGAGTGTCTGGTCCAAACTCCATTATTTACAGACCGCCGCCATATAGCAGGGGAATTGCTGAGTGCGGCGTTAAACAACAAACAGGACACAGGACACAGGAGCGATCAGCTCTTGATCTATCCCCTTGTTGCCTAGTGACAGCCAGGGTAACAATAATGACCATATTGTAACGTTTTTTGTATGACGCGCCCCAGGGACAGATACCGACCTTCCTCTCCCCGATTATAAAAAGTGAGTCAGTGAGTTTAGTTTTACGCCGCTTTTACGGGGATAACGGCTATGATAACTACAACATGGCTCGTAAAAAATAAAACACAAAAGAAAAAAACAAAAAAAGACAAAAACCCGAACAGGTGGAGGTAGATCTGTGGTAAATGTGTACGGACAGTGCAGAGATCCATTGAATCCCACCCTTTCAGAAAGCATTACATACACAAGCACGCACGCATGCACGTACGCAAGCACACACACACACACGCGCGCGCACAATATGTGAGTGAGTATGGTTTTAAGCCGCTTTTCGCAATATTCCAGCAATATCATGGCGGGGGACACCGGAAATGGGCTTCACACATTCTACTGAGGTGGAGAATCGAACCCGGATCTTTGGCGTGACGAGCGAACGCAGTAACCACTCGATTATGGAAGATAGTGACTCGTAATCGAACTAGCGAGCTTACCTCCATTGATGTCCCCAATGAGCGTCTCAAACACCGGAATGATGGGGAACTGGCTGAAAGACATGTGGTAGCTGATGTTGTTCAGCTGTCCGGTGAAGCCAAGGATCCACAGCTCGTCGTTGGGCCCCGCCCCTCCCAGCCACGTCTTGCCCCACGTCATCACGGCATCCTCTGTGGGAATGTGAGTGAGTGAATGAGTTTTGCACCGATTTTAGCAATATTCCAGCAATCTCACCACTTGGGGCACCAGAAAGGGGCTTTACACAATGTACCCATGTGGGAAATCGAACCCGGGCCTTCAACGTTACGAGCGAACGCTTTAACCACTAGGTTACCCCACCACACTCTGTGGGAACAACATAGTTGTGTACGTAGTAGTAAGTGGACTGAGTGAGTGAGTGGGTGAGTGAAACCACATCATTACCAATTGATGAACAGCCTTTCTTTCCAAAGAACATAGGCAAACATCAGACTGGCTCAAAGTTTCAAATGCCATCAGCATGATTTTTGAAAAAAGATATATTTTTGGATAACAGTTGATAAATTATTAAATGAAAGATGCTTTGATCACTTTACATTTGTTTAAGTTTTGGCGGGGGGCAGTCGTCTTAGGCGGTTTCACTCGCTACTCGACAAGGGCCAACCAGGAACCTTTTATGTCAGATTGCCCGTACAATGATCCTTGCATCTTAGTCATACAGGCTTCTCAACCAACATTGTGTCTGCATGAGTGTGGGAATCCCCCACCTCAAGCCGACATGATATAACCGTTTCACTCACTCATTCACTCACAGTTTCTGGAGAGTAGTCAGTCAGATGAACGCAATACCTACTTGGAGTGCATAGTCTCTCGAACGGCTGTGTCAGCGGAGTCTTTATACAGTTACCTCCCTCTATAGTGTACAGGATCCGCTGCGACAAAGATGAAACCGGAAAGATGGAGGATTGTAAATGAACCAGATACAATAAACACACAGGCATGTTTCAAGTCACTCTGTTTAAAGACATTTAATGTTGGGTAATTTGAACAAGAACACCTTGAGTCTCACATCGAGGAGGGCGTATATATTTACGTTTCAAACTCGGGTCAAGGTTAGGAGGACGTGGCCACCCAATGTTACCTCGGTGTAGTTGTAGATGAAGTCCACCTTGTGGTAGACGCCGCCTGTCGTGCCGCTGGTGGAGAGAGCCAGTCTGGTGTTGTTCTGGTCGTAGGCAATCCTTGTTAGCAGCTGTGAGTGAGTAATTAGTGTATGAGTGAGTAACTGTGAATGGCGGAATGGTGAGTGTGTAGATCTGTGAAATGAGTGATTTTGTGTATGTGTGAGGGAGGGGTGGGGTGGGGTGGGGTGGCATGATGGAATGAGTGAGTGAGTTGGTTTCGAATGAGTGAGGAAGGAGTGAATGAGTAGGGATCGAGTGAGTGAGTAGGGGTCGAATGAGTGAGTGAGTGAATGGGTTTAAGGGGATCGAATGAGTGGTGAGTGAGTTAGTCGGTGGGAGGTCGAAGGAGTGCGTCGAAGGAGTTGAGTTTTACGCCACACTCACCAATATTCCAGCTATATGGTGGCGGTCTGTAAATAATCGAGTCTGGACCAGACAATCCAGTGATCAACAGCATGAGCATCGATCTGCACAATTGGGAACCGATGACATGTGTCAACCAAGCCACCCGATCCCGTTAGTCGCCTCTTGGGTCGCTGAAGGTACATTCTAACCCGGACCTTCACGGGTTGAATTAATTGGGGACTGAGCGATTGATTGTGTAAGTGTTGAAGTAACGTGACATAAGCAAGCAGGTATCCATCTTATCACCTGCCTTCAGACATGTCTGTGACACTAAACGCAAACGAAACTTGGAACTATGGTCATTTATAGAGGGTGACCATTGTGTCAAGTGGCACCTGTGGGATTAATCTAATAAACTTCCTTGTTTGTTGTGTTATACCCCACTCAACACAAGTACATCACATCACGAGTATCGATCTACAAAAATGGTATACGGGTTGGTTGCTGAAGACCAATTTTAACCCGGATCTTCACGGGGCACACAATCTATTCGATTTCAAAGACACATGTACATTCCACATAGACTAATACCGACATAAATCGACCCCAAAACACGTCAAGTCCAAACATTCATTACACAACAGTCTCGTTTCCTATTGACTGGGTCCCGTCCTTTTGCGCAACTTACTACAATAACCAGTCCAGAATTTTGAGACCAATTCATTTAACTGGATACATAATTATTAATCAGTATTATTTGATACATCTAAGCACTTGTATATTGCAACACTACGCTCCTGCTAATCCCTGCGAACACGTTGTGCAGCGTGCTCTGTCGTACAGCCAGTTCTGACAAACGGAAACCTGGAAATCGTGGAAATCTCAAATCGAGGCTCTGCCGCTCGAAAAGTTTGGCGGTCTGGTACGGACTTGGTATTATATCAATGACATTGTGCGTTACAGTACTACACTGAATAAGAGCGAAAAACACATAACAGATGTAACCAGTGAGCCAGATGCATTGTGAACCATTTTAGGATCTCTTCAAACAGGGGCAGTCTGTGACGTCTTGTTAAGGTCATGCTGCCTACACCTCGCCATAAAATATAGAATTACGATGTTAATAAAGTTTAAAATTAAAATTCATTTACAAATACAATTTTCTTATGAAACAAGAAATTGGAATTCAGTGTAACCATAGTTGTTTGGGATGTCTATTTTCACTTTCACACGAGAAACTTCGGATCGGCTGAAAAGTAGGTCATTGTCTGAATAGGTTAATGAGACTCATGTTTCGGTTTGGGTCCAAATAATTTTCCAGTTATCTTATCATTCCGTTGTTATAGAGAGACAGATCCTGTCTACAGTACAGGTTACGTACCTCGTCTAAAGTAACCTGCCCCTCCCGGAAAATTCCCCCCATAGGTGCTCTGGTAGCCCTCCCATTGGGGGATAGTGCAGAACTGATACTCCTGGGCCACGACCACTCCCAATACTGTCACCAGCAACACTAACACCCTCAGCATGGCGAGTGTAGAATCAGCAATGCTGTGACCTATAGCACTTATCTGTCGCACAGGGGTCTCGAACATGAATCAGTTTTCCTTATCTAGGTATTGCCGACCTTTACACAGAAGTCTCGAACATGAAAAACCCCTATCTGAGGTCTTGAGGTCAACCTTAAGGACTAAAAGACTTACGGAGTTCCGTGCCAACCTTAAGGACTTCAGTATCAACCTTAAGGACTAAAAGACTTAAGGACTTCAGTGCGAACCTTAAGGACTTCAGTATCAACCTTATAAGACTAAAAGACCTTTAGGATTTTCAAAATATATGTAGGAAAAGATACAATAGAAAAGTTCAGCTTGTAGAGTTGCAGAATACTTTGAAATATTGACTAGTCAATTATCATTCTTTTTCAGATTCTGACAGTTGACTCTTTCATTCACTTTCATGCTTTTGATTTCTGAAATGACGCAAATACATAATTATGGCCAAAATGAATGAAAGGAATTATCGGTAATCCGTTATTACGTTTGTATTATAAGCTATTCCACTATTTTTATCTACATAAAAGAAAAGAAACGTGCTGTGTGTAAATGTAAAGGAAACGCTTCCGGAACATCAGACTGTTCAAACAGAATGTAGTGTTCTGTACATTAACATACAATATTTGAATAATGTCTGTTTCTCATTCATGAGATAATATATTAACCCTTTCTCAGTGATTTGTAAAGGTTTTCATTGATTGAATTATGCCTGTTTCAATGAGCAAACGGTTCCAACTTGTCCTTTGTCAAAATATGAATCACACATAACCTGTCGGTGACGTGTTCACCCAGAAGCGGCGTAAAACCATACTCACTCACTCTTCACACTATCCCCGTGAAGATCAGGGTTAGAATTGGTCTTCAGTAACCCATGCTTGTCGTAAGAGGCGACTAACGGGATCGGGTGGTCAGGCTCGCTGATTTGGTTGACACATGTCATCGTATCCCAATTGCGTAGATTGATGCTCATGCTCTTGATCACTGAATTGTCTGGTTCAGACTCGATTATTCACAGACTATCGCCATACAGCTGGAATATTGCTGAGTGCGGCGTTAAACAACCAACCAACCAACCAACCAACCAACCAACCAACTTCACACAAACTACACCATACCCTACGACCGTCTATGTTTTTGTAATGTTTTCTTCACGTCCTACACAATAGGAACATAAACGTGGTCCATTTGTCGTTCCGCGGGGTCGGGTTTCCATGGATACACATTAAACACCTATTTCTGCCTTTGTTTGTTCAGGTCGAGGCCCAACACACAAAATAGTTCAGTTTGTTGAAATACTAAATAATCTCATGTAAATGGAACATATCCTCCTTTACAAAATATCAATAAATATTATCACGATAGACCCGTTGTGTCAGTTATTGTGAGATAACGTTGAACATCAATATATATCATTTCAGGTGATTTCTGTAAACTAACCTTTATAAACGATCTCGGTAAATGCCTGTTACGGCTTCCCAGTTTATCTGAGTAAATATTATGAAAGCTGTGATATGTATCTATATCCGGAGCCTGGGGGGCTCCAGACAGCAAGATAGCTTAACCTTTCAAGTAAATTCGGCGTTTCGTTTCAAACCGTGCGCTAAAACGGTCTGTGAAAAACAGTAAAAGGAAACTTGCTGTGTTGAACACAAGTAGTTATATCTTTCTGTAACAACTAGCTGGTACAATAGGTGTTGGACTAAAATTTGGTCCAAAAATTATTAAGTTATCTTACTTGAACCAAAAACCTCAATCCAAATCGTAAAAATTAATATTATTCCTTTGCGCCCGTTATTCAACGCAGGTGGCCATTTACAAAAACGACAGAAAAAATACGATTTGTATTACTGTAGCGCTTGGTCAAAGGCAATATGGCCGACTTTAGTCACATATGACGTCACGGGCGAAAAGGCCACGTGAGTCCAAGCGTAATTAGCATAATGGCAGAAGCGGAGTTAACAGAAACTGTTTTTAAATATACTGAAACCAACGTTAGTGGGCCTTTGGAAGAGACTGGGTTCCCATTATTCTTACTTGATGTGCAACGTCTTGAGCAACTGACAAACACCCACGTCTACGTGTACATCGCAACGCACAAATATATTCCAGACCAACCATTACAAAGGTGCGTGGACTGGATTCGAACTCGAAACTTCAGTCGGGGAAAACGATCGCGTGTCGGAATGTCAGATTGTGAGTTTAGCTTTACGCCGCTTTTAGCAATCTTTTAGCATTGCACCATCTGGGGAATCGAACCCGGGTCTTCGCCGGACGAGCGAACGCTTTAGCCACTAGGCTACCCAACCACCCCTTAACAGAATTGGACTTGTCCGCGGCAATGTCAGCTCATGAAGGAATGCTTTCTTTTCTATAGAATAGTTTAAGACACTATACACCTATATATGCCTGAGATTTGATAAGATAATGGATCAAGTTAAGATTACAGTCACTATGCCGAGAGTCGCGGTTGTCCTAGTGTTATTGGCGTGTGTTGTTAACGGTGAGGAGATATGTGCTCCCAACCAATGGGAGGAATTCAGGCTGTCGTCACGGGGACGGAGGAGGCAGGGACGTTGACGCTGATTCAGGTAAGACGTTGTAACGCTGACGTTACCATCAACACTGTAGACACTGATATGTATGTATATCTGCATTGTATTGTGAGTGTAAGTGGACGATTTCAACAGCGTGAATACTTCAAGGTTTCAGCACACATTTCTTCATCATCAGTGACTACAGACGGCAGTTCTGCAGTGTCGTCACTATCTGTAGACAACGCACCAATGACCTGGTTACAGCATTGTGCAATAAATGACACAAGACTGTATACTCCACACACTGCTTAAGAGTTAGCAGGGTTCGCCCAAAATTAATGCACGGAGATGGGCGTCTGTAAGTTATTCGTTACATGAATATAAACCACTTGCTATATGGTGTCCCTTCTCGTGAATAATTAGTTTTAGGAGCTCCACCCACGGTGGAATTTTCTGATTTATGAACGGAAAATATACAAAGCATTTTGGAGCATATTGCTTACCAAAATAGCAATGTCGAAGCATGTGTTACAAAAAGCATGAAGTTATTTCATTTCTATTTTCTGCCAGAGTTCAACCCGATTCTCCTTTGATGCCAACAATACCAGAATAGCCGCTTCTACATCCGGGTCTCGAAATGGCAGTGGTTTCCAGAAGGACTTCCTGTTCCTGTATCAGACGGTAGCGCTGTCAGACATATTAAACACACATATGCGCACGCACGCACGCACGCACACACACACACACACACACACACACACACACACACACACACACACCACTTTAACCTTGAAAGCTTGGTGGCCATTATCATTCTCTTCCTGGAGAACAAACAACTACTTGTCCCCAATGAATGTTTTTGGTTAGACTAGATATCCAGCAATCTTCCTTGGTCGCAGGATGCGACTTGACGTAATGGACCGGGTGATCAGGGAGAAGGTTGATTTGTGAGTGAGTAAGTGATTGAATGTGGTTTTACGCCGCATTTGGCAATATCAGAGAAACATTAGCAACCTCTACTAATGACTCTTTATTAGTTTGCCAATTGGAATCTCGTTACTTTAATTGACATAAATTTTATGATTTATCCTATAAAAATCAAAGAACGACTCAGGCTGGTTGGTTGTAAGGCTGGGGCGGGTGACCCGGATACCCGGGACGGGTGGGTAATGAGTTGGACCCGTCTCAATACCCGGACCCATTATGATCAATGTAAATGTTATCCTTTCATGATTGAAAGGTTGCATTGTGTTTGAACATTTAGACATAATCTACAGTCACCTGTTTTGAATATAATACATGGTTAAGATATTGAAAAACTCGAAATTTTAGCCTCCGAGCTGAAGAACATATTGCCGTTTCTTACAGGAATTAACATAACGGGTATCAGGGTATAGTATGGTAATAACGGGTGGGGTACCCGGGAAGAACATTTGGATCCGTCCCAGCCCTAGTTGGTTGGTTGTTCAACGCCAGCTACATGGCGGCGGTCTGTAAATAATCAAGTCTGGACCAGACATTCCAGTGATCAACATCATGAGCATCGTTCTACGCAATTGGGATACGATGACATGACAAGTCAGCGAGCCTGACCATCCGATCCCGTTAGTCGCCTCTTACAATAAGCGTGGGTTACTGAAGAACAACTGTAACCCGGATTTTCACGGGCTAGAGCGATTAAGGGGACACTTTATCTTGCATACCCTGTTTAAAACGGCCAAAAGAGCTGAGCATCTGTGAGCTATGTTCCAGTGTTGCTGTGTTTGTTTTCACCAGGGAAGAGTGTACATCATAGAAGGAGGAAGATGTCGGGCATATCAACTCCTCCAACACTTCCCTTCTCCATGTCTTCCTCGTAGGTTGCTTGTGGTCAATATTATTATCGAAGATAATAGACTTGGAATGTATTTTCCACTCATATAACCTATCACAATAGAAAGATAAACGGTGATCATTTTCCGATATTTGCAAACTTCCATTTTATATATGACGACACGCTGTTTCATTGTTGAGAGCAATACCATAGGACGCCATCTCCATCTATTGTTCATGAAAGTGACAAACTACCTGCCAATATGGAAACATGATTAAGAGAGCGAAACTCGCTGCCTGAATCTGCGAAGAAAGAAAGAAACCAATATATGCATAGAAATACCGTTAAACTGGATATTTACAGCACGTTTAATGATTAAGTGAAGTTTAACGCCGGTTTGGACGGTATTTGAGTTATATCACGGCGTGACAGCTTTACGTAAGAGGAAAACCCGAAGTAATGCAAGCCTTATAAACAATGTTAAAAATCACCATCTTTATCATCTGTCATTGGTTTCCTCTCCAGAGACCTTCACGTCGACCTGGGCCATGATGTGGGACGGATTTGTCACTTTTACCGACAAACTATTTATGTTTGAGTTTGTGGGTGATCTACACGACCTGTACTGTCACGTGCAAGTGTTGGCTTACACGAAACTTCCTGTCTATATGCAGCAAAATGGAACTGTCGACCAGGGTGAGTCTCTAGATCCATTAAAATTACTCATTGGAATAGTTAAATTTGGTATGTAAATAGTTTGCATTGTGACCTATTTACCACGTTTCTTAATTGACCTTGAACTTTGTCCTTGCCATAAAATTCTTTCAAAATGCTTGGTTCTGTATAAATTTTCCCCCGAAGCTGATATTTGGCACAATGTAACTTATAATGATGACAATAACTTATTCAAATGTAGACTGTGTTTAAAAAAAAAAATAAAAACATTATTTTATTAACTGTTTTAAACAGCTATCAAAGCTAAAACGTAGACTTCTTTAATTTGAACTCACTGTATATCGCTCGACATGAACTGGGAAATTTATGGTTGGAGAATAAACATCACCCTAATGTTGTACATTTAGGTACGTAGGTCGCATCTTTAAAACTTGTAGTCATTCACTTTAGTTTAAAGATATATTACTTGTCATATCAATGTGTACACCCATGTTTGATGGAAGGCCAGTTGTTGAAATCATGACAACACATGATATGTTACTTGTCATGTTGACGTTGTATAAACTGCCCCACAACAGAAAGGATACATCCATGTTTGATGGTTATAGTAAAACCCTGAAGAACTTACATGAGAATTATGCGATCTCAGGCATCACGTGGTTTCATGCTATTCAGGAAATTGGTGAAGCACCGTAAATTTGGAAAGTGATATTGTTCTAATCTTGCTTGTCTGATTAATATAACACCAGTCAACTAACATGAATAGAATCAGAGGGTTATAATGAGTTGTGTGACTGACGGCTTCATCGAGTACATCATGGAGTGTCACTCATACTATCAACCACTGGTTCTCACCGTGACATAGCTCTAATCTTGCTGTCTGATTATTGTTACAAGTAGCTAACAAGAACTGGATCAGCTTCATCGAGTACATCATGGAGTGATACTATCAACCACTGGTTCTCACCGTTAGCTCTAATGATTATTGTAGTGACTGGATCAGAGGGATGTATTGTGTGACTGAGTGTGCTAGACGTTGCTGAAGCAACCAACCACTGGTTTGTCGCCCGTCTAATCTATCTGATTGTTGCATAAAACATCTTCCATCTCATTTCCTGCTTTTTAAAAATGTGATTTGATTTGGTGCGGGATTACATCTTAATGTGTGATTGGAGCAATTATCGTGATGCCAACCAAATAGCTTAACCCCTTATAACGCTAATCTTGCTGTCAGCATCCTATACTAACTAAATTTCCGTCTTTTTCTAAACGATGATCTGTTATGATACGTTAATAATATATCTGTAATGAGTGACGCGCGCTGTCACGGAGAGAGGCAGTTTAAGATTACCCAGATATAATTATGACAAAACCGCTTCAGCTGTAAACGAAAATACTTTTCTAGCATTAGAATAGTGCTTTAGTTGTCATTACGACGGAATCAAAATGCCGTGAAGATAACGGCTATATTAACTACAACATAGCTCGTAAAAAATAAAACACAAAAGAAAAAAAACAACCAAAACCCGAACAGGTGGAGGTAGATCTGTGGTAAATGTGTACGGACAGTGCAGAGATCCATTGAATCCCGCCCTTTCAGAAAGAATTACATACACAAGCACGCACGCATGCACGCACGCAAGCACACACACACACGCGCGCGCACAATATGTGAGTGAGTATGGATTTTAAGCCGCTTTTAGCAATATTCCAGCAATATCACGGCGGGGACACCGGAAATGGGCTTCACACATTGTACTCATGTGGGGAATCGAACCCGGGTCTTCAGCGTGACGAGCGAACGCTTTAACCACTAGGCTACCCCACCGCCCCTACACAAGAAAACATACTGACACATATACGCGCACAGACGTCCGGAAATTGTCACGTAACATATTATGATTGCAATGATAGCAAGAATGTTGACGTCTTCCTGTCGAAAATCCCGGATCAGTCCTTGACCTTGGCCCTGCAGCTCTATCAGTTCTTGGAGGATATAGAACAGCTACGATCGCTAGGATTTCTTCCGGTATGTCTTCAGTACCACCAGGTGACCCCACACCACATTTACCTCCCCTTGTTTTTAAAGGAGCATGGGTATTGTGCGACTCAATGTATCGTAACGGTTTCAGCCTGGGAACGATGTTGGCTAAGGCGTACTGTCATTTCACTGTTGATGGAAAGGAGCAAAATAATTGTGGTCTGAGGTTTGCCATAAAAATATACTCCGTCGACCGGACGTGAAGTGCATTTGAAACTGACAGTTATCTTCCAGATCCCGTTTTCCGCACGACAGCCTACACTAATGCAACCCTGGGGATAAAGAACCCGGATGTATTCACGCTCCCGTCTATCTGCAAGACAGCAGAAGTAGAGGTTTGTTAACTGTCCTTGACCTTTTGTATCATACTTTTAAATAGATAATACTTGTCCACTCCTAAAACCATTGAAGAGAGCTAAGTAATTGGAATTACGGTATTCATATTCGCCTTTTGCTTAAAAAATAACACAATTAGTAGGGGCGACTGGTTCATAGAGACGTGCATCAAGCAATCACTGTGAAGATTGTGACAATGAAACTGGAAACAGGTGCGTCGAATGAATGAATGTCAAATCACTAGACACGAAGCCTTGACATTTCTGAGGAAATAACTTTAATGATGCCAAGGCCTTGAATTTAAATTGTGCTTTGCATTAATTCCGGCGAAATAAAACCTAATAAGTCGTCACGTCAGTATCAGAAACAACGACGCGTTTTGACGTTTGGTGTGTGACGTGGTTATTCTCCTCTACCCGTCTCCATTCCATTAGGGTACATGCCCTGGACCCATTCAGTACCATTACTGTAATTAAAGAACCGAATTCGAAATACCCGTCCAGTCAGATTACACCCATAAGCGAGAACAAATCTACACAAAGTCAGTGATAAATGGAAATGGAATGGTGACGTCACTTCCAAAATGACGGTATGGTAGCGAATGGGTTCAGGGAGAATGTCATAATAGTACTGGAGCTGCATTTATATCTCAGTTGGTCAGTATTTATATCTCAGTTGGGATGAAAGCTCCAAGTGATGCAGGTCTATCACCTCGGTGCCAACAACGAGCACTTGCATGGTGCTGAAAAACATAATATATCAGAATGTAGATAGCGTACTCCGAGAATGAAGGCGAGCTAACATACCACTCATAGGACATTTTATAGAGTTGGTATCTGTGTGAAACAGTTATTAGTTTCATGTTGTAGTGTAGGTATTGAACCATCAATAAACCAGGCTATGACTGCTCCCGGAGTGGGGCGGCGGGGTAGCCTAGTGGTTAAAACGTTCGCTCGTCACGCCGAAGACACGGGATCCGTTCCCCACATGGGTACAATGTGTGAAGCCCATTTCTGGTGTCCTCCGCTGTGATGTTGCTGGAATATTGCTAAAAGCGGCGTGAAACCAAACCATACTCACCTAATTGTTCCCGGAGTACACAGGGATACTATGTTCCCAAAACTAACTCAGTTGTTTGTGTTTTTCAGGGCACTTTCGACGCTCCAGACTATTTCATCGGATTGAATTTCGAGTGAGGTTGTGTAGGGTTCTCCCAAGGGACAATATCTTAAGTAACTGTGAATAAAGTGAAAGGAGTATTCACTTTTATCAAGTTTGTCTTGTAGATGAAGTTTCAAAATTATGGTGATATAAATAAAATAAATCCCTAGTTTGTCGATGCCTTAAAAGACGTTCACAATTCTTTAACAGATGTGACAACTACTAACAAAATTAGATCAATTAAAACCAGTTAGACTACTTATTAATGGTGTTAGCACAGATTTCGTATGAGTAGTTAACGGAATTACTTAAAGTAGCTGCATCGAGACCTTCGCTGGAATCAAACCGGCGTCGTAGTAGGAAGATGCAAGTACACACACATAGGGGCCACCCTACCTAACAAATACCGTTAGTCGCCTCTTATTACAAGCAGGTGTTAATGATCATGAAGACCATTTCTAACCCGGATCTTCACGGGTAAATAGATCTGTGTATGATTAGAGGTCTGATGTCTCTGCAAGACGTGTTTAGTTGTTACTGAGGACCCAATCTGGCATCAATGTCCACCACCACATCCAGACACCCACGTCTGCTACTGCAACATCATGCAGAATTAAGGGGCGGAAGTGAGCTTTGTGGTTAAAGCATTACGCCGAACACCCGGGTTCGATTCCCTAAATGTGTACAGTGAGTGAAGACAGTTTCTGGTATCCCCTGTCGTGATATTCCTGGAATATTGCTAAAAGCGGCGTAAAAGTATTTTCGCTCACTCTCAGAATGAAAAGTAAACTTCCTAAAATAAGTGTTGGTGTTAATTACCAAATGCCTGGTTCTGACACCAAAATCAACATAGAAACCTTAAATGTATAACATGCTATCTCAATGTGGAAGCATCTTTTGAAAGCGTGAGTGAGTGAGTATGGTTTTACGCCGCTTTTAGCAATATTCCAGCACTATGGCGGCAGGGGACACCAGAAATGGGCTTCCCACACATTCACACATTATAACCATGTGGGGAATTGAACCCTGGCCTTCGGCGTGACGAGCGAACGTTTTAACCACTGGGCCACTCTTTAGAGTCCACCGCCACTCTTTAGAGTTTAAGAGTTCGTACAAAGACTACTGACGCAGGTGAACCTTGCCCTGATGTATTCGACTGTTTTGTTCACATCCCCGTCTGTTTTTGTTCAACGCCTTTTTATCAAACACAAGCAACATGTATTTATGGTTTCACATTTACGTAAGTTTTGATCACACGGAAACCTTTGATCCTACAGGTGTCAGCACGTGTGTTACAATAACAACATGTATTAACCAACTCTATCTGTGTAACTGCTTGTAAAATATTGGGATTATTAATGTTTGTCGTTTTGCAATGCATGAAAGATGAATTGGTTCCAGAAATAGGAGGTGAGATCAGGAATTAAATAGGACTTGGTCTGAGGAAAGAACCTTTGTATATATATTGCGCATAGAAAATGTGAAAAAGTTGCTCTGGGGTATTTACAAACCGCTTTTTCATTTGATGTCAACAAAACCAGAATAACTGCTCCTACTTCCGGGTCACGAAATGACAGATGGTCCCAGAACAACTTCCTGTTCCTGTACCCGCAGGTGGCGCCACCACCACACGTGTTAACCTTAAACACAGCAAGTGCGCATGCGGCGTACAGGCAGATCTGGGTTTGAAATGAGATTCTATGGTGTACTAATAATCATCATCAAAGGAGCACTACATTACAATGGCACTTTAACGCTTGCATATTTTATTTTCATATCGACACCAAATGAATAAACGGCAAATACGTTTTTGGAATATTCAATATTTTGAACCAAGTTGAATTGTTTAGATAGTGTTTGTTTGTTGTTTAACGCCAGACTCAGTAATTGTTCAGCTATATGGCGGCGTTTTTAAAATAATCGAGTCTGGACCAGACAATCCAGTGATCATCATCATGAGCATCGATCAACGCAGTTGGGAAGCGATGACATGTGTCAATCAAGTCAGCAAGCCTGGCCACCCGATCCCGTTAGTTGCCTCTTATATCTAAAGATTTCTATAGGTTTAAACTTTGCTGTACAGCCAATGGCCATACATGACCTTATACCTGGTATAACTGGCATATAAACGTTTTTGCAGCGATCGAAGAACCCTCAACATCTGACGAAATTTCCCGAACAATGACTAGATCTGGTTGACATTGTAAACCCCAGTTACCCTTCTATACTGTGGAAAAACCCTTTATACTAGAATTTCCAGAACCGGATAGACCAGGTACAGATTGGTCGACGGTGATGGTCCCTGGAGATCCTAGTTGATCGAGTATACACAGATATACTATGGTAGATCCAAGATCGTGTAGACCCCGGTAAACTCTGGTAGATCCCGGTAGAAGTTATCGGATTTGGTAGAGCCTAGTAGACCAGGTAGTCCAATGTGCATTGGTAGATTTCGGTCTGCCCTAATAGATCTCAACAGTTCGAAAATCAACTGCTTTGAAATCGTTTAATGCTATTAGCAGAGGTTTTAACAAAGATTTCGTATAATTATGGAAATGGTTTCCGTCACTTGTTCGGTTTTATAAATAAAAACGCAACCCACTCCTATGTTCTACAGCTCAGAAATGCTCTCCATACTTTTACAATAAATACATCAGTACATAGCCTGACAGTGATCTTTGATGCCAATCCTTACTGAAACTTGAGTCTGATAAAGTCGCCCAAAGTGCTGAGAGTACCAGGGGAAGAGAAAATACCAGTTTAGCTAGTTTAGAGGGAAATAGTGTCGCCTTCAGCATAATGGATGTGATAATATGGGCACAGGCACGAGAAACAACAGCCTCGAGACCATCCAGAAATAACATCGGATTTCAGTTCTTGGTATAATAACATCGGCAACACACAGCACAAAGAAATAACAACTCCTGGCTGATATAACCTGTATTGACCTACACCGAGGGCATCATAGAGGATGAAGCCAAAATATAACAAAATGTATACGAATTTATATATAGTAACCTATTGAATCTACACTAAATAATGTGCAAGAACTGTGAGATCAAATAACACATTTGTGAATCTGGCGGGTTGATCCACAGGAAACAGTGACATTATCTAAACAAAGAGCATTGTTCGTGGGGGAAGATACTGGAGTCCGTGTCTCTTTATTTGAATGTGTCCTGTTCCGAAGTGCTTATGTACAGATATTTAATTGTTTTGCCTCAGGATGCTCAGGGGAATTTTTTTTTTAAAGGTCAATGAAGCAAAGACTTCAAATGAAATATGATAAAAATAATATTCTAGAATTTTAGTCTAGGAGCAATGATTAAAATGATCTTGACATGTCTGCCAAAGTGAGCCTATCGTATCGACTAGTTGAACATATCTAAATTCAGAAACATTAATTCCATTTTTTCAGTCCGTCCACCAGATCAATATAGTCGACCTGTGAGGTAAGTATAGGTTGTATGTGACCAGATCTAACCTGGTAGCCCCGCGAGGGGTGGTCGTTTGTGAAACCGGGGATGATCAAAGGGCTTATGAGATGAACTTGTAACACTGTTCCACAACACTTTGGTATTGACATGATATCTGCCGATACTTAAGCAGGCTCGGTTCTGTTCTGCCCCGGGGCATTCGTTCAGACGTCTGGAAGATGAGCACACTAAGATGAAACTCATGTCCAGAAATACCGAATGTAACTATTTACTTCCATTCTGCTTCTGTACATGTGTGCGGGCGCGTCTCATATGAGCATTGGTGACTTATACATCGCAATAATTATGAGTGAGTATGGTTTACGCCGCTTTATGCGATATTCAACAACCCCCATAATTATGACATTGATACAATTAATTATTGACACAACTGATACAAAACCAAGAAGAAAATATTCCTCTCACTTTATTCATACAGTCACTCAAAACATCTCACTATGGGACAACCTATCACAACCTCACTGCAAGTTCAGTCCGATAAAATAATCAGGCGCGTCGAAAGTACCCTGAAATACAAAAACAACAACACAACGTCAGTTTGGAGGAAAATAGCACCATCCCTATGGACTAGGTGGTGTAAAAGCTGTAACACATGTATGTCTGGCCAACAGAGGTTCACTAAAGGATAAACATAGTATTATTAACCTTACTAACTGTAGGTTAGCAGTATGTACTAAGGGGGATCACTCTCATCTGACTTCCTGTTCACGGCCATGTGCTCACAGCCACTGTCAGCATCAAAGTTCCTTATAGAGCTTTCTACCACGAAGTTCAACCTTGTAACTTAACCACTCTATGTTCTACAGCTCAGAAATGCTCTCCATACTTTTACAATAAATACATCAGTACATAGCCTGACAGTGATCTTTGATGCCAATCCTTACTGAAACTTGAGTCTGATAAAGTCGCCCAAAGTGCTGAGAGTACCAGGGGAAGAGAAAATACCAGTTTAGCTAGTTTAGAGGGAAATAGTGTCGCCTTCAGCATAATGGATGTGATAATATGGGCACAGGCACGAGAAACAACAGCCTCGAGACCATCCAGAAATAACATCGGATTTCAGTTCTTGGTATAATAACATCGGCAACACACAGCACAAAGAAATAACAACTCCTGGCTGATATAACCTGTATTGACCTACACCGAGGGCATCATAGAGGATGAAGCCAAAATATAACAAAATGTATACGAAATTATATATAGTAACCTATTGAATCTACACTAAATAATGTGCAAGAACTGTGAGATCAAATAACACATTTGTGAATCTGGCGGGTTGATCCATAGGAAAACGTGACATTATCTAAACAAAGAGCCTTGTTCCTGGGGGAAGATACTGGAGTCCGTGTCTCTGTATTTGAGTGTGTCCTGTTCCCAAGTGCTTAAGTACAGATATTTAATTGTTTTGCCTCAGGATGCTCAGGGGAATTTATTTTTAAAGGTCAATGAAGCAAAGACTTCAAATGAAATATGATAAAAATAATATTCTAGAATTTTAGTCTAGGAGCAATGATTAAAATGATCTTGACATGTCTGCCAAAGTGAGCCTATCGTATCGACTAGTTGAACATATCTAAATTTAGAAACATTAATTCCATTTTTTCAGTCCGTCCAACAGATCAATATAATCGACCTGTGAGGTAAGTATAGGTTGTATGTGACCAGATCCAACCTGGTAGCCCCGCGAGGGC